GGGGGGAGGGCATGAACTGGAATCAACTCCATGGCAACTGGTTTCTTGGGGTGTAGTCCCTCCTACACCCGTGGATACTGTGACCTACGTGGGTGATGGAGACCCGGTCTGTAGAAAAGCAGACAGCTGCTCCCTCCCTCCCTCCCCCTGTGGCTCCCTCCCTCCCTCCCTCCCCCTGTGGTTCCCTCCCTCCCTTTGTATCTCCCTCCCTCCCTCTGTGTCTCCCTCCCTCCCTTTGTGTCTCCCTCCCTCTCTCTCTCCTGCCCCCCACCTCCACCTTCTCCATCTCACTCATCTTCTCTAGAACACACTGGCTGAGACATGCTGACTCTCCCAGCACCTTGTTCCAAGGTCCTTGGGCCCTTGGCACCACCAAAGGGCTCTGTACAATGTTGGGTCCCAGAGGAGCACCCTTCCCCCCTTCACACTCCCCGAGTTCGTGGCCTCCTCTGTCCGTTTCCCTGTAGGGAGCTCCTAGTCCTCAGTAAGGGAGCATCCCCGGGGAGAGTCAGGGCGGCTGCCCCAGCCGGCCAGTGTGGGGCAGGTGCTAGGATCGACCCTGCTTTGCAGGTTGCCCGTGGGGGTATGGCGTGCATTTGTGGTTGTATGTAGACGGGTTACAGGAGCTCTGGTGGTGCAGTGGTTAAAGCACTTGGCTGCTAACTGAAAGGCCAGTGGTTTGAACCCATCAGCCACTCCATGGTGTAAGGTCGCAGTAAGGAGAAGAGGACGCACAAAAGTGGGGTTAAAGAGAAGTTTTTATTCTGCGCTCCCGGGCGAGGTTCACGGGTCCCTGAGAGGGGCCAGAGAAGTCACGCTGCCCAGGTGAAAGAAAGGTTTTTTTATAGTGATTTTCTTCCTGGTTCTTAGAGGACTGGAGTGAGAGCAGGGCATGTGTTACAGGAACCAATAAGGTTAAAGTACCCCGTTAGCATGGGGGTAGGAAGCAGAGTTGAAGCACTTCATTAACATAGTGGGCAGGAAATGGTTGGGGCTTTGGTGAGTAAGAGTCAGGTGCTGGGGTCTTTCGTAAGCAAGGGCTACGTGCTGGGGTCTGGTATGGGCTCTGGTCAGGTGCCTCCTTGCTTGACCAGTTCTTATAATTCCCTCCAGCTCAGTTATTCACCTGCCTGGCCAGCCATGTTTCTGCCTAACACATGGGAGAAAGATGAGGCAGTCTGCTTCCGTCAAGATCACAGCCGGGGAAAGGCAGAAGGTGCAGTTCCACTCTGTCCTCTAGGGGCGCTGTGAGCCGCCATCTGCTTAGAGGCAGTGAGTTTGGCTCTTTGGGGGTAGGCATGTCATCTGAGCCACATCCTCTGATCAGGGAAACAGAAAGTCAGGGCTCATTGCACAGCCAGAGTCCCCACCCACCGCTCAGGAGAAAACACTTGCCCCACCTCTTCCCTCCTGCTGCTGCCCTTGATCTAGAAACCTGAGGGCGGGAAAGCGCCACACACCAGCACAGGCGGTGGGAGATCTGCTCCCACCTGGAGGCCTAACTCGGTGCCACAGTAAGTTTCTACCCCCAAAGCCAGCAGCCCTGGGCCCCCCACGGGCCCCCTCCCAGTCGGTGTTTGGTCAAAGGGAAGGCACATGCCCTCAGCCTGGCCCTCTGGGACCCCTCCCTCCTGCCACCCCATGCTGGGTCACCCCTCCCCCACAAAGCCTTCCCTGGAGGGCCTTCTGCCCTTCTTAGGCAGACCCGCTCCAGCACCCCTGGGTACCAGTGGGCGCTGCCTGCCTAGCCTCCTTGCACCCACCACGCCCATGGTTGCTCGGCACATGTCTGCTGAGAGAAGGAGGGGCTCAGGCCTGGGGGGTGATTGACCGACTGACAACTGACTGTACCGAGTCCTGCTCCCCAGAGGCCCCCAGGACGCACGCGACCAAACAGCCCACATGGCGCTCTGGTGCCAGTCAAGAGGGAGGCCACGGCTGGCCTCACGGCCTTTCTGTTTCTTCCCCATTTGCCCTGTCACCTGGCCAGAGGGAGCGCTGAGGAGGGGGCCGGAAGGAGGGTTCTGGGCTGAGGGTTGCAGAGGAAGGGTGGGAGGGTGCGGTGGATGGGGGGACAGAGAGCTGGCCTCTGAATGGCTGGAGGCGGAGGCGGGGTGGGAGAGAGACCGGATGCTCTCCCCAGGCTGTGTCCCGCCATGAAGACCCTTGCTCTGCCCCTGCTGGTGGCCCTGCTGTGCACACAGAGAGGTGAGCTGGAGGAGTAGGGGAAGGTGAGGGGAGTCTGGGGACCCCGCCGTGCTCCCCTGGGCCCTGGGTGGTGGCAGGGACTGGTGGCTGGCTGTGACTGGCGTGGTGTACGAGGCTGGCTCAGGTGAGTGGGCCTCGGTGGCTTCCCGGGCTGGGGGCCATGGCCAGGTGAGCTCCCGAAAGGACTGGTCCTCACCTGCCCGCTCAAGCACCAGCCCCTCCTTACTAAATGAGGTCCCATAGGGTTGCTGCCCTCAGCCTTGCAACCCTGTTGACTTCTGGGAGCCCCCCATCAGGGTCACCCATCCTGGCCCCTCAGGTGAGGACAGGCCTTCCCTCTCAGCTTGGTCCCAGGTCTCCCTGGACAGCATGTGGCCATGACTATCGGACCTAATGGGACTCGCTGCTCCAGCTGGGTTAACATGCACTTGGTCACGGGAGCCTCTCTCTTTGACGGCCGCCTGGCCCCACGTCCCAGCTGCCAAGACCCTCCAGCCTGTGCCCTCCCATTTCTGCTGGCCTTGGTCCCCGTCCAAGACCCTGGGGACCCACTGCCTCTGCTACCAACGCCCTCCACTCTGATGAATGTGAGCCCTCAAAGCCAAGCCCCTCACCATCTGCTTGACTGTGGGGGTAGCGTGGTATCCAGCCCCACAGCAGCCCAGGTTGGCGGTTCTGGGCTCTGGGGTTTGCTCAGGCAGCTGTGGGCCCAGGGGGGCTGCTCTGTGTAGCTCCTGCCACTGGGGCAGAGAATGGGGTTGAAGTGCTCAGCCCAGTGGCGGCCCTCAACATCCAGTCCTCACTCCTTCAGCACACGGTCCCCCAGCTGTGTGCGTGTGGGGGACGTAGGGACCTCACTGGGGGACCGCTTTGTCAGGCACAGGCACGGCTGGGGTGAGGCTGGACCACGTGGCCCCGATGCTCCCGTAGCGGGGCCCAAGGTCCTTGTGGTCCACGTGGTCCGTCTGCTGTGCTGCCCGGGGTGTCCCCATGGCTGACCCCGTCCCTCGTCCCTCGTCCAGCTCAGGGTCTTCGCTGCTACCAGTGCTATGCGGCCCCATACCTGGGCCCCTGCCGTGAAGAAACGTGCGACTACCCGGCCGGGGTCTGCGTCTCCCAGGAGGTGATCATCTCCTTGAGTGAGTACCTGAGGACCGGCGGGCACAGTTCCAGGGAGGCAGAGGCCCCAGCTTCTCAGAGGAGGAACTGCTCTGTGGCCATGGGGTAGGGGAGAGGCTCTGGGGTTCAGGAAGGGGAAGGTGGCGGCTCTTGACAGAGTGCAGGGAGTGTGGGAGTGGGTCGATCACCCCAGGCACCTGGTCTCCCAGGACCGAAGCAGGGGGCGTCCATTGCTGTGACAAGCAGCCGCTCTCCGGCCACAGCAGGGTGCTGAGCCCACTTCTTGCCCTGGCAGTCTTGGCAGGGGGTTTCTCTGTGCCCATGGCTCTGCCCCTCCAGCTCCCCCCATCCAAGTCTGTCACCTACTCACTGGAGGCAGCATGTGGCCTGTGAGGGGCTAGAGAGACACTGTAGCTGGGATGAGAACCTTGAGACAGATGGTTTCTAGCTAAAGAAATGACTCTGGAATGGTGGGCTATCATCCAGGCCCTGGTGAGGACCGGGAGGGCTGCTTCCTGAGCCTCAGGCACCCAGCCAGCTCCCTGAGCTGCACCTTTGTCCCTGTATCACGTGCTTTCATCGGTTACAGCAGGAAGAGATGAGTCCCGTGACTGGCACCCAGCAGGTCCTTCACGAAAGCTACTTCCCAGTCCCTCTGTTTTGGCCTCCTAGGGCGGCTGTAACAGAATCCCACACTCTGGGGGGCGCGTGACAATAGAAATGTACTGTCTCCCAGTTCTGGGGCTGGGAGTCCAAGACGGGGTGAGGCAGGGCATGACTGTCTTGATTCCTTCTGTGAAAATGGGGCGGGGCAGTATCTGACCCCCCTCTAACTTCATGGGGGCAGGAATCAAGGCCAACAGCCCAAGGCTGATCCCTATGACCCTGAGGTCAGTCAGGGCTCCTCTCCTCTCAACCTTTCTGCTGGTTCAGAGGGCAACTGGCCGTCCCCGGCCTCTCTGCTTCCCCGCTGGGTTCGGTAACTCATTACAAGGCCGCACAGAACTCACAGAGGACGCTTGGGATTAAGGGGTTGTTTATTAGGGAGGGAACAGGTTACAGTTCAGGATCAGGGACACTCAGGGTGCAGTCCTCCCACAGGACAGCCTCTTCTCACCACACCCACAGACACAACTCTCTCTGACCCTCGGCGCTTGACCCCTGACCTTTGCCCTCCTCGGGCACGTGTTATAAAGCTCTTTTAGCTCTGCTGGTCAGTGCTTGGAGGAGCCCCACTCAGCCAGCGAGGCCCCACCTGGAAGCACTCAGCTTTCACCCCACGGGTCTGGAAGCCCACTGCGCTGTCGGGCCTCCTGGGTCAGCTGCTTCTCGCTTCTCAGCAAAGGGTCACAGCTCTCTCTCTCTGACTCCTGGGTCAAGGGGACACAGCACAAGGATCTCAGGCCCAAGGACACGCTCCACGCCTGGCTCTTCTTCCTTGACGGTAGTGAGACACCCCACTTTCCCGCCTCTGGGACGGCTCATTTAAGCCTCAGCCTGGGCGCTCTGGTGGCGTAGTGCCTAAGGCACTTGACTGCTAACCGGAAGGCTGGCGGTTCAAACCCACCAGCCACTCCTCGGAAAGAAGATGGGACAATCTACTTCGTAGTGATACTGCCTCGGAAACCCAAGGAGGGGTGGCTATGAGTCGGGTCCGACTGAATGGCAGTGAGAGCTGGCAGATGGCAAATCTGACCAATCCCCATATTAAGGTTCCAAACACCTTATTTGCATGGCCCCACCCACAAGGGTGCCAGGTCCCTTATTTACATTATCAACAAGCTGACCAATCCCCTTGGTGGGCCATGGCCACCTCACATTTGCATAGCTCCGCCCAGTCATCTGGTGGGCGTCACAGGTTCTAAGGCCGGACGGGCCATGTATGTCATTCACTCACAGCACCTTCTGAGTCCCTGAAGGAGATGCTGTCCCTGCCTTGCTCCCAGCCTCTGTGGCTCCAGGCGTTCTCGGTTCGCGGCTGCAGCGTCCGGTGGCACCCTGCCCCTCTGTCTTTGTTCTCCCCTCCTCTTGAGCCAGGACACCACTCAGATGAGATTAAGTCCCGCACTGCTGCAGTATGACCTGTGTCAGCTTAACACCTGCAAAGCCCCCATTCCCAAAGGAGGTCACGGTCAACATAACGTAGCAGGATGAGGACTTGAACGTGGCTTTGGGGGGGACAGCATTCAACCCTTGTGCCTTTGAGTCCATTCTGACTCAGGGGACCCCATGTGACAGTAGGACTGCCCCAGAGGGTTTCCTCAGCTCCAATCTTTATGGGAACAGGTCTCAGGTCTTTTCTGCAGAGGAGCAGCTGGTGGGTTCGAACAGCTGACCTTTCAGTTAGTGGCTCAGTGCTACTAGGGCTCCTTATTCACCCCATAGCACCCTCCAGAGCCCACCCCGCATCTGGGAAGCAGGGAGCAGGGCTGCCCACCTCCTCAGGTAGAGCTGGAGCCAGAGGTGGCCTGGCTGTCACCTTTGCTGGGCTGTCACCCTGGGGTCCTTGAGAAGCCAATTCTCTCTTGTCCTTGGTGTCCTTTTAGGTACAAAGATCCTGGGCTGGCTCTTTTCTGGCCCTCCCAGGCTTCTGATGTGGGAAGTCTGAGGAGCTGTCACGGGAAGGGTCCCTCTCCTCCCATGGGGCCGGGGGCCTCGGGGCAGGGCTGCTGACATGACCCCTCCCTCCCACAGACTCTGAGGAAATAAAGGCCGAGAACAAGCTGTGCCTTCCGTCCTGCCCCAGGAACAACCTGCCCCTTCTGGGTGACCACCAAGCAGGCATGAAGGTGGACACCACTGTCTCCTGCTGTAACACGGACCTCTGCAACAGGGCGGGCCAGCCGCTGGCGGGGGGCCTCCTGCTCGGCCTGGGGCTGGCCCTCCTCCAGGCCCTGCTCTGGTGACCTTCCCACCCCTTTCCCTCTGCCCATGCCCGGCTGCTCAGTCTTGGGGCTGCTGAGCCCTGGAGTTCTGCCGTGTGGTTCCTGGCCCTGGGGTTGAGGCCAGGGCAGGACTGGAGGGGAGCTTCCTTGTCTGGGATTAGTGGGCAGACACCCAGTTGGTCTCCTCCCTTCCCGGCTCTGGCTGGAGGCTTCAAGGCCACACCCGTAGGTACAGGCTCCCTCTCACCTGCCTTGTCTCCGCCCCCGGCCAGCACCCGCTCACCCATTCAGGCCACCACCATCCAAAGAGAAGATTGGTTGGGGTCCCCACCCCCTCAGTGTTCAATAAATGCTCTTCTGCTTCCCGGAAACAAGGGAGTCCCTGTTTCTGCTGGTCCTGAGGGCCCCTGCCTGCCACCCCAACGTCACCTTAGTACACTGGCTTTGACGACTGTCCGCCGAGGCGCAGTGGCCCTGCAGTCCACCCACACACCTGGTGTTCAGCTCTCGTGATGGAAGTTGTTCCCTGAGTAGGCGCCTCTGCCCACAGGCGGGGCAGCTGAAGACAGACAGGGAGCCGTGGGACAGTCTCCAGGAGGGCTGCTCTGGCCACCAGCCACCACCTCCCTCCGGTCCGTGCCAGCCACCTCTGTGCCTGTCACCAGTGGGGGTGGAGGGCGTGGTGGGAGGGAGGGGTTCTTTGCCAGGACTGACCGTTGGGACAGAAGGCAGGTTCCCCCAGAGCACCTGCATCTGGTGAGGAGGTGGGTCAGGTATGGCCGGAGACAGGGAGAGAGTCAGTGCTGGAGGGACTACCCTCAGTGGCTGGAGGAACCCTGCTCTGTGGCTTCAGAGAGTCCGGGGCTCGGGCTGAGCTCAGATCCTAGGTCACCTCTCCCTGGGCTGCCAGCCAGCCTGCTGCTGGCACCCCTCCTGTAGGACCCATCCACCTGCCCCTGGAGGACAGAGTGGAACTGCCCACAGGGTCTCCAAGGCTATCAATCTTCACAGAAGCAAAGCCCAAACCACACCCACTGCCTGGAGTCCATTCTGACCCACAGCGCCCCTAGAGGACAGAGTGGAACTGCC